CGCCTCTGTCCATGCTGTCTCTCTCTCATCCATCCTCAGTCTACCTGCAACCTCCATGGCAGAGCAGGGAAGGGAAACAATTATTTAAGTGGGACCTTTCTGTGGATGAAAGCATTTTCAGCCAGCTCTATCTAAGTAGTTCTCCAATACGATTTCTCAATTTAAAAATCACTGTGCATGGGAGACAAATAGATGCTTCTTCTAAAGTGCAAAAAGTAAATATAACTATGTAAAAAAAAGTTGTTTGGGGGCAAAGATCACAAAGGAATTCGAAAAAAATGGCAAAAACTGTGTTAATCCATTGCCATCTAGTCAATTCTGACTCATAGTGACCCTACAGGACAGAGTAGAACTGCCCCATAGGATTTCCAAGGAGCAGCTGGTGGATTTGAACTGCCAGCCTTTTGGTTAGCAGCTGAGCTCTTAACCACTGTGCCACCAGGGCTCCAAAGTTGTGTTAGGGTGATAGAATTCAAGGTAGTTTTTCTTTCTTTTAAAAATTGACTTGTAGCTGGCATCTTTTTGGTGTGACAGAAATGTTCTAAAATTGGATATGGCCGATGGTCTCACAACTCTGTAAATTTACTAAAAATCATTGAATTTTATGGTACATTAATTATACCTAAAAAAAAAAAAAAAAAAAAAGATAATAGGCTAATTTCTTCAAAACTTGCCCATCCCTGAAGTTTCTCTTACCTGTTTCTTTTGGCCTGAAATTTATTTAATTAATAAAGCCTTTCACTACAAAATAAAGGATGAAGTTTTCAAAAATACTTTAGTTAATATATCTGGTATGAATGCGTTTCTGTCAAAATCAAGAATGCAGCTGACGCTGCTTAAAGAGGTCAAGCTCTCAGAGGACCCCAATGATTTGGCTTGCAGGTAGGCTATATTTGCCAACCCCCGTCCTAGTGCATCTTTTATAGACTTCTATTATAGCAGTTACTATGGTGCACGGTAGTAATGTTTGCTAATCCCTTGTGAAACCATTAAGGACAGAAACTGTATTTACTCATATTTGTTTTCCTAGTGCTTAGCAGAGTGGGTGGCATTAGTCCACCATATAAAAAGTTTGTTTAGTGGATTAAGTAGTATTCTAACAGAAACTGGTTAGATTAATGAAAAATTAAAAACCAGGGCTGAATTTGCTGGTTTGTGGAAGCACTTGAGTACCAGTCCACTATTGAGTTCCATGTTTCAAAGGACTTTGCACTGAGATTTTTTTTAAACCTCTATTGAGATATAATTCACATGCCACACAATTTACCCATTTAAAGTGTACAATTTCGAGATTTGTTTTTAAGGAGATGAAAAGAGAAATAATTTCACGCTGGCTCATACTATGGTAGTGTCCTTCTAATAAAAATGTAAATGACTTGACTAGAGCATTTCCTGTTTGGATTAAGGGAAGGGGGTTAGAAAGCGGTAAATCAATGGATGCCTAAAAATGGGTAGAGGAGGCCATAAATGGATGAAAAAAAGAAAAGAAGGGATTCTTCAGTATGCTATTTACTTTGTGCTAGGAGAAATGAAAGAGGCTTTATGACCTGTGTGGAGATTCCTTAGTGAAACCCTGAACTTTGCTCATTACCTCTGAATACACTCTAAGGCTGATCCTTAGAGAACCAGCATATCACTCCTTCAGACTCAGTTATCAGGGCACGCATCCCCAGATCTAAATCATTCCTCTCTCCCTTTTTTCCCAAAGCTTACTGTGTTAGCTATCTATTGCTGCATGACAATTACCCTAAAATTAGTGCTTATGGCAACAGTAAACATTTATTGTATCACATAGTTTCCATGGGTCTGGCTTAGCTGAGTGGTTCTGGCTTGGGATGTGTCACAAGGTTGCAGTCAAGATGCCAACTTGGCCTACTGCCATCTGAATGCTTGACTGGGACTGGTTGTAAAGTCCATTTTCAAGATGACTCACTAACATGGCTGGCAAACCAAAACAAAAAAAACAAACCCGTTGCCATCGAGTTGATTCCGACGTATAGCAACCCTATAAGACAGAGTAGAACTGCACCATAGGGTTTGCAAGGCTTAATCTTTATGGAAGCAGACTGCCACATCTTTCTCCCATAGAGCGGCTGGTGGGTTCCCACTGCTGACCTTTCCGTTAGCAGCCGAGCACTAAACCACTGTGAAACCAAGGCTTCTCGGCTGGCAAACCCATGCTGATTATTGGTGTGATGCCTCCATTCCTCAACAGGTGACCTCTCCATAGGGCTGCTGAGTGTTCTCCTGATATGGCAACTGGCTTCTCTGAGTGAATGATCCAAGAGAGCATAAGACAGATGCTACACTGCCTCTTATGACTTAGCCTTGGATTCACACACCATAATTTCTGCAAAATCCTCTTTGCTATCAAATTCAGCCCAATTCAGTATTGACATGGTGCGAACTACACAAGGATGAGAACACCAGGAGGCAGGGATCATTGGGGGCCGTCTTGGAGGTTGGCTACTATCTATATACATAAAACCAAAAAACCAAACCTGTTGCTGTTGAGTCGATTCCAACTTACAGTGACCCGATAGGACAGAGGAGAACTGCCCCATAGGGTTTCCAAGGAGTAGCTGGTGGATTTGAACTGCCAACCTTTTGGTTAGCAGCCGAGCTCTTAACCACTGCGCCACTAGGGCTCCATGTATATATAGACAGGGAGAATGAGAGAGCGTACAAGCGCCCTGGTGGTGCAGTGGTTAAGCACTCAGCTGCTAACTGAAAGGTCTGCAGTTTGAACCCATCAGCCACTCCGTGGGAGAAAGATGTGTGTGTGTATATATATACATTTAACAAAGGGGATCCCTGAATTCTGGTACCAACTCCTAGATATACTACCTTGTCATTTATTGTAACCGAGAAAGTATCTCTTGGGACAGACCAACAATTAATGGAATGAAATGGAAAAGACTTGAGAAAGGGAGAGGCCTGGGAAGCTGTTTTTCTTGGATAGTCCAATATCCCAGGATTCTCACTCCTGTGGCATTAACTCTCTCTATATTCATTCTTAAGGAGCCCTGGTGGTGCAGTGGTTAACTGCTTGACTGTTAACTGAAAGGTCAGCAGTTTAAACCCACCAGCCATTCTGCAGGAGAAAGATGTGGCAGTCTGCTTCCGTAAAGATAACAGCCTTGGAAACCCTATGGGGCAGTTCTACTCTGTCATACCGACTTGAAGGCAACGGGTATATTCATTCCTACATTTCTTACCCTGTGGTATACTATCACCCTATTCTCAAGAGAGTCATCACAGAACACCTCCCTCTGCACTTTTCTTTCTTCCTTAACTCTTTCTTGATGTTCTGCTTTCTCATATACTCTTCTATTTGTCATATCCTTCATGGATTTGCAAGTTAGAGTTGGTCATAAAATAATAATCAGATGAATAATCATCGTTCCAACATTTGGAGAATCCAGCCATACTCACTGATTCATTTAAAATGGACAAAATAGTAGTTTTTGGGATAAATTCATTAAACTCCTCCCCATTACAGTAGAGGTCATCTAGTAGCTTGAAGAGGACAGGCTGCATTTACTAAGTGAGTGAAATTATTCTCTTCAAATAGAGAGTAGCTATTTCAATGAATCTGGACATCCCTCTTCCCATAAACTCCTTTAATTTTAAAGAAAAATATTTATAGAAACCCTTATCTTTTTCTATTTAAATTACTTGTTGGGCCAATACTCTAAAGTGAACTATATTCTATTAGACAAAGTAATGGAAACAGCAACTTGCGGTTTTAATCAGCGGAAAGAAAACAATTTGGCAACTTGGCAAGTTCTTTAGGTTTGAATAGAACAAGACGAGCTGCATCATCAATTGCCTTAATGTACATTTTGTCCTGCTTTTTATCCAAAGATCTGGACATGACAGATAGGAGAGGCACCTGCTGTATTTTAAAGAACGTCGAGAGGCTGTGGCATTTGCTGAACAAGAAGAAACAGTCTATAAGAACAGTTCTGCGAGTGCACATAGATTTATATTTAACTCTCTGATATTCATGATCAGCTTTAATCATAATGTCACTTGAGGAAAAAAAAAAGGATTTAAATTAAAATGAAGCTTATAATTCATTGCATCCTTTCAGTCCTTGGCAGACCCTTGGGAGCAATTGTGATTAAGTAGAAAGAGCCTGGGACAAGGAAGGTTTAAGACACCTGAGTTTTGGTTCTACCACTAATTTTAAAGCCTTAGGAAAGTTGTTTAACCTCTTTAATTGAGTTTCTCTTGGGTAAAGTGGTGGGCAAGGATGGGTGAGAGGTTTAATCTTAAGGTCTCCTCTTCACCAGAGAGGCTGACACAACACCAAATACAAATTTATCCCACACAGCCTCACCGCTCCGCCTTCCTCACTTCTGAAATTCTTTTGAGGGACTCCGGCATACTCTTAATCCCATACTAATACGCATGGATGCTGTCGACTGAACCCTTAGCTGATGATTTTTCAAAAAAGGAATGAAATCTCGTTCTTTGTGGGCTGTGAAAACAGTAAGGATACTCCCGGCTCCAGGCTGACTGTCCTTTATGGAGGTCTCAGTCTCCTCTCCTACTCACACCTTTAGGCCTTTCCCCTGTACCCACCGGTGATTTACTTGTTAGGCGGTTCTGGGGGATCGCGCCAATCGGCCAAATCCAGGGCAGCTCTGGTTCTGACGAGCTGGACGGACTCCTCAAGGCATGGCAGGGCCTCACGATTGCTGCCCTTCGTCGCGATGTCCTCAGAGTGTATAAATTCGTAGAGTGACAAAATATTACCGATTTCTTTCCTAAAAGGCAGAACCTGGGGTCACAACTATGCCTCTGTAACCAAGTCAGCTAGTGAGGTAGTACAACACCCAGGTGCGCCAACCACACTATTCTTTCTCCTCGGGACAAGCGGGCGGTTGCGGCTGTAGCTGGAACTACGACGCCCAGAATTCCCGCGCGCATGCGCGCTGTCATTGTGATGCTCCTTTCCCGGTAACTCGTGCTCTCAGGCAAACCTGAAGATAGCGGCATTTCTCCGGTGGGGGGCGGAGACGCTCTCTGCCCGACTCTCCGCCCCCTTCCTGATAGGCAATGGGACCAGCCAACCGACGTGGCGTGCTCGGAACGCTTTCTCCAATCAGCATCTGTGGTGGCGAGGTGGGCGTGCGCACTGGCAGGGCAGGTGGGCTAGGCTGTGCCGGGTTGCGAAGGGGGAGAATAACGTCGGGTCGGGTCAGCGGGCGCTGCAGTAGTCGCTGCAGCGGTGATGGGAGCGGTGGGGACGAGGAGGCGGCGGCGGCGGCAGGAGGAGGAGCAGGGGCTGGCACAAGAGCAGCGGCTGGGGGCGGCCAGCAACGGCAGTAACAGCAGCAGCCGCCGCCGCCGCCAGTAAACGCGGACGGTACCCGAGGGGACTACCCAGCCGGCCGGCCCTCGAACCCGCGCTCGGGTCCCGTCGCAGTCGGGCGGCGGGGGATGGGCAGGCGGCGGCGGTTCCGCCTCCTGAGGGCTGACCCCTGCTGGTCCGGGCCCTGAGCCGGACCCGAGCCCTCCGCCCGAAATCCCTGCGTCCGCCACGGCCCAGGTAGGACACGCCCCCCAGGGCGCCGCCCTCCCTCAGGCCTGACCCCCGCCCCTCGGGCCGCACACCTAGCCAGTTGACCGACTCTGGTGAGGAGAGGAGGGGTACGAGAGACTTCTCGGTCGCTGCCCACGCCCTGGGCTTGTGGCAGACCCAGTCATTTGCACCTCAGAGACCGTTCTCGTTCTGCCCCGTTTCCCCGAAGGCTCCTGCCGCGTTTCCTCCCGACGTTTTTGGTGTCTTCATTGAACTTGGAGGGTCACGAAGCTTCGTTCTGTTTCTCCCTCTCTGTGGGTGACCCACATATCAACTTGTACTCATGCTGCTTCTTCTGGTACCAGAACTGAACACACAATCCTCACAAAATCCTGAGCGCTTCTTTCCCACCCAGTCTCCCCAAATGTGATAGAAGACTGTGGAATCTGTTTGATGTGTAGTAACGACAGTGAAGGCCACGACTTTCTCGTAGTTAGGGTGCTGAAGTAGTGACCTGAGGGATTGCTTGTCATTTGCTTTGACCAAGATGATGTTCACATCCTGGGATGCTGTGGGAGGGACAAAAGACTCCACAAATACGTACTGTCAGATCAGAGAAGTAAATAAGCTGTTAGGATGCCGGGACACTTTATCTCCCATTGAAGTTAATTTTGTTTTAAACTTGGCTGCATTAGAGGTAAAGATGACATTCAGTTGTACTTTGCTTTGAATTGAAGTTGATAGGTGGCAGCAACCCAACTGTTTCTCATCCCTCGCTTTAGAAACTGTTATTTTTTGAACATTAAAGAGGGCAGTTTTATTGTAACCTGTGTTATGTAAAGATGTTTTGGTATTCAATAGAAGTTGAGTTTTTTATGTGTGTATAGCAAAAAACCAAACCCACTGCCATCATTCTGACTCATAGTGACAGAGTAGAACTGCCCCATAGGGTTTCCAAGGCTATAATCTTTACGGAAGCAGACAGCGTGTCTTTCTCTGGAAGAGCGGCTGTTGGATTCAAACCACCGACCTTTCGGTTAGCAGCTGAGTACTTTAACCATTGCACAACCAGGGCTCCGTTATGAGCAAGATTACATTATTATGAATGTGCACATGTACACACACACACTTGGAGGATTTACTCAGTGTGTTTTGTTACAGTCTTTGATTCTGAGCCATTAATAACAGTTGGCATTGATATCTTAAACAGATTTGCCAGGATAGACTACAAAGACGTGTCTGCTGTTTTCTTTTGGCTAAATGCAATATAGTAATGGTCATTTAGGGAGGAAATGAGAGATTGATTTTCAAGTATTGAGGAGATTGAGTGCTATGTGTCGCTTTCTTTCTTTTTTATAAAAAATTAGTAATGATGACAAATATTTTATATGACTAATCTTGAAGATTTTTCTTAACTATAAAAAACTTTCAAGTTAGTAAGTGTGTGGATTTTGGAAGGCATATTGTGATCTATTCAAATTGAAAACATACTGAAAGGAATGTTTAATTTAGAACCTTATGTTTTCCTGTATGATACATTTTTATCAAGGCACTAAAAGAGATGTTTGAAGCATGATTTTAAAGAAGTTTCTCTTCCATTTTTATTTTATGATAGAATGTTAAGAAAATACTTTTTCCTCTTTCAGTTTTAGATACAAAAAGAAATTGAAATCCATTGCTTTATTAATTTAATTTATAATATTGAAACAAAATTGATCATAGGTAGGAGGCCAAGAACTACACTAAAAATGTGACAATTGTTGATAAATTGTTGGGTTTTCAAAGTAAAAGAATATTACAGAGCTGAGTTAGATTATGATCATAGAATTTAAATTTTTGCTAGGGGGCAGGCAATTGTTTATAGGCTTTATAGCTTTAAAAAGTAATATATAACAAGAGAAAATGTTTAATGACCACTGTTGAATTAGTGGAGCTCTGGCAGTGCAATGGTTAAGACCTTGGCTGCTAACCAAAAGGTCAGCAGTTCGAATCCACCAGCTGCTTCTTGGAAACCCTGTGGGGCAGTTCTCTGTCTTATAGGGTTTCTACGAATTGGCATTAACTCTACGGCAGTAGGTTTGGTATTGAATTAGTGGGGGCTGGGTTGATTAGCAAAATAAAATAGCCTTTGAGAATTAGTGGAAAATGTAATTTAATACCTTTTCCACTTTTTACAAAAAACATTTCATATAGGAAAAATTCTTTTATAAATATGTGGCAAACAATCTTTTCGGTTTCAGGGCGTGTTACTCAAGATTCTTTTAGCCATGTGTTTGTTTTTTTTGTTTGTTTGCTCATTTTGAGGTTTTTAAGAAACACTTAAAATATAGGTGGAGTGATGTCAGTTTATTTGATTAGTGATATTGCAGGATATCCTTAATATTTATAGGTTTTTGAACTTAAACAAGTTTTATACTGTTCTACATCTTTTTTTGTTTTCTAGCATATTGTAAACAGTAGTGATGGTAGTGGTAAGTTTTTTTCCCCAGGCTTCAGTGGATAGAATCATTTTGTGCTGAAAATACTCAGTTCTTTCAGGTTAAACACCATACTTCCATATTTGGTAAAAGAGCCTTTAAGTCCATATGAAAACTTTGAGTTTTTTAGAGCTAAATTTTGAGCATAAGTTCAACACATATAACCACTCAAAACAGCTTCCATTTCCATTAAAATCTGTCAATCCTTGATTGTAGGTTAAAAATACAGATTGAAGTTATATTAGTTATATAATGTGAATGTCCATTTTGCCTGAAAATTTGATCTTTAAAACAAGTGATTTTTAAGACTTCTTTGTGTATTTTCATTTACGTTCTATGACTTTTTTTAAAGTTAAAAATTTTTTCTTCTCTCAGTGGTTATTTTATATTGTCTTGATATGTAATTGAACATATAGTACTTATGAACTCTAGTAAATATTTTAGATTTTTTCTGTAATTTTTTTTTCACCTTTGTGTATAAGACCGTCTATGTTTTGGGATATTGGTACCTATTTTTTACTGTGTTGTAGGACTTTGCCTTCATTTCAATTAGGCAAAGTAAAAAATTGTGTTCTTTAAAGAGAATCTGTGATAAAATAGTATCTTCTGAAGAATGGGAGGTAGAAGCTTCTTTGCTTCCTTTAATAAGCTGTCAAGATTTAACCTAACCATGTTTAAAGAATCAGTTTTGTTTTGTTTTCTTTCAATTGTGGTGCATATATACATAACAAAACATATGCCATCTCAAAAATTTCTACAGATACAATTCAGTAACATTGATTACATTCTTCAAGTTGAGCAACTCGTCTCACTATCCTTTTCCAAATCATTCTACCACCATTAACATAACCTCAGTGACCCCTAAGCAAAAACTTCACTTTTACCCCTCCCACCCTTGGTAACCACTAATAATCTTTAGTTTCTATGTATTTGCTTATTTCATATAAGTGAGATCATACAATATTTGTCCTTTTGCAACTGACTTATTTGCTCAGCATGACGTTTTCAAGGTTCATCCGTGTTGTGGCATGCCTTAGGACTTCATTTCTCTTTATGACTAAGTAGTATTCCATTGTGTGTATATACCACATTTTTTTATCCATTCATTTATTGATGGACATTTCAGTTGTTTCCACTTTTTGGCTATTGTGAGAAGGTTGCAGTGAACATTGATGTACAGATTTCTGTTTGCATTCTTGCCTTCACTTCACTTCTTCTTAGTGTATACCTAGGATTGGGATCGCTGAGTGATATGGTAATTCTGTGTTCAACTTTTTGAGGAACCGCCAACTATTTTACACAGTGGTTTTACCATTTTATATTCTCACCAGCAGTAGATGAGGGTTCCAATGTCTCTACACCTTTGCCAACACCTGTTCTTTTCCATGTGTTTGATTCTTGCCATTCTAATAGAAGTAAGATGGTATCTCATTGTAGTTTTGATTTGCATCATCTCCCTAATGGCTAATGATGGAGGCCTGGTGGCGCAGCAGTTAAGAACTGCAGCGAACTACAGTTTCTAACCAAAGGTCGACGGTTCGAATCCACCAGCTGCTCCTTGGAAACCCCATGAGACAGTTCTGCTCTGTCCCATAGGGTTGCTATGAGTGGGAATCGACTTGACAGCAATGAGTTTGGTTTTTTAATGGCTGTTGAGAGGAGCCCTGGGGGCACAGTGGCTGAAGCACTCGGCTGCTAACCAAAAAGTTGGCAGTTTGAAACCACCAGCCACTCCTCGGGAGAAAGATGTGGCAGTCTGCTTCCACAAAGATTTACAGCGTTGGAAACCCTATGAGGGTAGTTCTACTCTGTCCTGTAGGTTAGCTATGAGTCAGAATCAACTCAAGGGCAGTGAGGTTTAATGGGTATTGACGTTGAGCATCTTTTCATGTGCTTTTCGGCCATTTGAATATCCTCTTTGGTGAAATGTCTATTCAAATGCTCTGCCCATTTTTTGATTGAGTTGTTTGTCTTTTTGCTATTAAATTGTAAAAGCTTTATATCTTTTTTGGATATTAGACCCTCATTGGCTATATGGTTCCTGAAAATTTTCTTCCAATCTGTAGGTTGTCTCTTCACTTTCTTGATAAAATCCTTTGATGAACAAAAGTATTTAATTTTTATGGGTTCCATTTATCTTTTTTATCTTTTACTGCTCTGCTTTTGTTGTCATACCAGTATTTTTAAATGCTTGAGTTAGAAAACTTATTTAACATTATATCTGTTTTTACCAAAATGCTTTCATCCATGAATATTTTTATACTTACCTTTTTTCTTTCTGCAGAGTTTCAAAGTAATGGCCTTTAAAAAAACGAAATTGCATTGTTTCCCTTATCTTCTAGCCATTCAATCTAAATACTCTAAATACTGTATTTTGTTAATATTTGTCTGACATTTAGTTTTCCATGTGTTGTTTGTTATGGATTGTTTGGAAAGACTTTCCCACCTTTTTTTTTAATCTACTAAGCACCTCAGTTTCTAAAATATTTCAAAAACGATTTTTCCAACATCCTTTAGTGACCAACAGGGCAGAGATGAAGGGAGGAAAAT